CCTGAGCAGGGGTCATGCGCACACTTCCGAACCCCCGAAGTCCACCGGTTAAGCTTCGGTGCTTCGCCGCACCTTTGATCGTGTGGCCCCTTGGTGTAGTGACAGCTCAGACCCCACACCCCGAAGCTAAGGACTCAACGTCTCCTATAACATACAGCCGGCAACCCAAAGCCTAGGACACAAATCCATGATAACCCTGGATATCCTACGTAACTTTTGAATGTCCCGGAACCCGAAACCTCTTTATCCCCTGAGCTTCCTAAGCCCTATAAACCCCAAAGCCCCTGAGCTTCCTAAGCTTGAAACACCCGGGGGCGTCTATGGAAGCAGGGCTCCGGCTCCGGTGCCGCGCTGGTTGGGGATCAGCTCCTACGGCCTCTTCTCGCTGACCTGGCGAGGCAAACGGGGCCTTGTCGGATTTCGTAGGGTCTTGTGAGGTTCATGACACGGCTTTTGGGAAGAGCCTAAGGGGAGAGGTTTCCGCAGGTGGGCGAAGTACAGCATTCCGATGGAGAAAGAGCTTCGAATGCAGCAACTCCGAAAGTAACACCTCCACACCCGTATAAATGCCAAAACCTGAGCCTTACACACCGAGCTTCAAGCAAAACATCTTGTCAGGCACGGCAATGTCCCGGCAGAGCTTAAGGCCCAACTGGCTGAGGCGGACCGTGATTTTCTCCAGGGCCCGGGTTCGAGGGCTGAGAGTTCGAAGTCTAGGCATTTGGGCTTTGGGACTGGAGTTTGCAGGCTGAGAGGGTTAGAGTTGATCGCGGGCATCGGGTCGAAGGTTTGGCGGGCATGAGGCTAGTAAAGTCTGTTTGAGCTGAAGGTTTCAGGCGCAGCTTAGGGTCAGAGCCCGGGGCAGCACGCTTTCGCTTTAAGCGAAGAGCTTCAGCTGTTAGACGTTATGGAGTCGGAACCCAACAACCCGGAACCTTGCATACAACCGCGAAGCTTTCAACACGGATGCAGATGAAAGACGCTCTCAGCGAAATCGGAGAATTCTCGACCTGCCGGGCACATGAAATTCGAGTCTTGAGACCACCCCCCCATCCTGCACCCAAGCGCCCAAAGCCCAACTCTTTTGGACCAGAGCCTTGCTGCAGGTGTTTTTTCCGCGGCGGACGGATGCTGCGGTGGCCTTGGATCATGCGCTTTCTTTGAAGGTTTGCAAAATAAGGTTTCTGAAAGTGTTGGAGTTGGCTTGAGGGGCTGTTCGGGAGAGTTGGGGCTGCAGTAGCTTCTACATTCAAGCTGATGCTTTGTAGGGGTAATTAAAGAACAGCCAAAACCATGGCGCCTTACAGCAAGGCACGTCCACAAAATCAGAACCCGAAACAGAAGCCACGCAAAACCAACCCACAACCCGAAACACGGATGAGACCACGAAATGCACCCGCGAACCAAAACCAGAACCCTGTCATGTGACACTTAGCGCCCCAGCCCCTCATTCACATGATTCCTACCCAACGCGTCGAGCGCCAACATCAGCGACGACAATCTGGCTTCCTCCTTTGATTGTGGTATGCCCTACACATTATCCCTGATCCGAGCATCAGCTCCCGCCATCTCCCGCCCAAACCAGCACGGAACTTGTGCCACCACTCATCGATACCAGCCTCGCCACGCATGATGGTCCCGAAACACCGGAGGATGCTCAACCCTGAGAGCTCTGAGCCCCCAGATCTGACATCCTTTGAACCTTCTGCACTTACAGCAGTCCTTAGAGTGACCCTTGTAACAACCGTTCTGGCAAGCCGTACAGTACCCCAGTCCTAGGACGCGGCAGCCCATGCGCGTTGCCTGCGCCGGGGACTGAGCATACGTGAAGGGCCTCCCGGGACTTTGCAAGAACTGCCCAACTCCAGGGACTAACTCCGGCCTTCTCCATCTCCCTCTCGTCGAAGGGTTTCGGGCCTACTTGTTGTATAGCAAAGAAAGGCTAATCCAGGAAATAGCTCCAATAGCCCAAAACTTCAAGCCTGAAGCGTGGCAACCCCAGGTTTGGCACTGGAGTGTGTGCCACAAGAGTATGGCCTTGCGGCGACAGAGAGGGCCCACGAGGAGGGTTCAGCGTCCGGTTTGGGGTGTCTCCCATGTTTGTTGATGCCCTTAGCGCACGAAACCTCAGTACGAACAAGGACAAAGGTGCATGCATCGCTTTTCTCTACTCATCACCTGTTGTAGGCGCCGCTAGTATATAGAAGACTCCTGCAGCAACAAGAACAACAAGAGCCTTCTTCTTGAGTAGCTACTCTCCCCTTCCACATTCACCAATTTCTCCCCATCTATGCCATTCATTCCTTGAACGTAAGCTAAACCCGAAACCCTCGCCCTATTAAGAAACGGAGGAGCCCAGCTTCTCTCCTTTTGGGGCCATGGGCGCAGGTGGTGCAGGAGCTCCTGGGTCTCCTCCTGGAGGCGGAGGATGCCGGGGACGCCTCCTGCGGGCCCGGATCTCGAACACTTTTAGAGGGGCTTTGGGTTTTTGGGGCTTCAGGGCTTTGGATCTTTCCTTGCTTCTTTGGCTTGGAAGTTGAGAATCAAGAAGCTAATTAGTGGGTGTCATAAATGGGGTTTCTGGAATATTTCACCTCAGAGTTCCTTTGTGGTTCCAAAGCATGCTGCCTACTGCCAGAGCATGGGACATGTGGGATTTCCTTGATGGTGGGGCAACAGGGGTTTAGGACTCATGGAGCTTCTCAAGCATTCCAACAGCGGTTTTTCCATGGGGTTTGAAGTGTTGGATCCGGAGAGCTTTTTCTTTAGAATCTTCCGCATGAAGCCGATAGCCATAGATGATGCATGATCTGGAAGATATCGGAAGTTTATCTTCTGTAGCCTTTACATGCCCTGGGTTTGGATGCTGAATCTGCCCCATGTATTTGTGCTGATGAGGTCGAGCCTCATCCGCAGAATCTTCGGATCAGTCCTGTGCCATCTTCTCCACCGTTCGTTGCAAAGAGATGTCTTGTCAGGAAGCAGAAAGCTAGTAAAGCTAGTGCGATCCCCCCGCCCAGTTTTTCAAAACTTGCAAACTCTACGCCCCTCGCCCGAAACCTCGGGCCCTGAACTCCTAAAGCCCCAAACCCCAAACCCAAAGCCCCCCCAAACCCTAAACCCTAACCCTAAACCCTAAACCCCACACCCAAAGCCCCACCGAGGCCGGCGCCTCTGCTCGACGACGCCGTCGCGGCCCTCACCTTGGCCTTCCGCGCTCCGGCGCGGGGCGGCCTGGCAGCGGCAGAGACGGCCCCCTGGCTCTCTAATATATACATTATAATATTATATGTTCTATATATTCTATATTATATATTATATTATAATATACTTTATGGCTCTCCATAGTATATATAAATCTAAATAAGAGATATTGTATAATAGGAAATATGATAAATATGTATAGGAGGGATGGGGGTTTTTAAGGTTCACAGGGTTCGGGGGGGGCCGGGGGCAGATTCTGCTACTCTATAGAGTTGCTTTGTTGGTGCTGTTGTTTTGTAGTCTGTCGGAGTAGGCGTGCGGAACTTGGCTTGCTTGGGCTTTCGAGCTGCTTTCTGGGCTAACAGTCGGACCGTCAGCCTAAGCCAAGCCTGAACCCCGCAAAGCCCGAGCCCCCAACTCCCTCAACAGCTAAGCACGGCGCAGTAGAGTCAGTTAAGTACATATTACACTATTCCTATTGTACAGTATCTATTATATACTATATATATATATATACATACATATTACAAGAGGCCAACTGCTTGCGGAGACTGGTCTCTGCCTCGAGAGCTTCCGCGGCCTCGAGGCAGCCCTCTGCAATTTGCTGAAGTCTTGGATAGGTGTTCAACTACTGCCCTGTTAGTGAGGGTTAGTCTTCAGATTTGGAGTGCTTAGGTTTTGCATGTAGGGTGGCATCTCCCTTCCTCTCCCTCTCGCTCTCTCTCCCCGTGCCTGTCCGAGTGAGTGCTTGCACAGCGATAGAGGTGTCGGGCCCACGTTGTTTCTCAAGGAAAGCCGGCGATGTCGGGCCTCCTTTGCGAACCTGACGCAAGCCAGTAATCGCTGTGCAGCCGCATGGATGTTTCTTGTGTGTCATGACAGCAGCCTGAATCCGACCGAGCATCATTGAAGCTGGCCTGTATTGGACTGAGTCACAGCCGCAGCTCTGTCTTGGCAGTGGTGTGTTTTCGGATATGTCATCGCTTCTGATTTCACAGAGTTGAGGCTTCACACATAATTCACAGCATCCCACACATACCTGTCCCCCTCCCCGCCACAACCTTTACTAGTCAACTAAACCCTATAGGCTCGAACCGGCGAGAAGTCACCACAAATCTCAAATCGAAGGCCTGAGGCCCAACAGACGTGAAAGCACTGAGAAGATGTCGACCTACACGGCCTGTTACAGGCGCCTCACCCTCTTGGTGAGCAAGACCTTGCGCCCGGGACCGCATGCCTCGGAGAGCGTCTCAGGGGTCAGGGTTGTGGGTTTTGTCATGTCCTTTTTTCTGCCTTGTGTTCGCTACTACTCGCACTGGACTCTCCAACAACATCCCTTCTCCCTGTTGTTGCATCCTGGTTGTGGCTGCTGCTGCTGCTTCTGCCTTCTTGGCTGGTGCTGCCGTTGCAGCTTGCTACGGCCATTGTTGCTGCTTCTTCGGCGGCGACTGTTTTGTGCTGTTGTTGGCTTTGGGCCGGAAGGATCTCATGTACTCAGGGACCGTAGGCCCTAGGCCTATAGCGGCCCAAGGTTTCAAGGCAAAGCCTCCATCAAACATCAGCTTTGGCCCTGCAGTTTGCAGTGGCTTTGGGAGTCTTTGGGGCCATGTTTCATCGCTGGGTATGATTTTTAGCCACTTCAGCGGTTTCGGGTTCAACTAGAACTGATCGGAAGTCCCTAAACCCTAAACCCTAAACCCTAAACCCTAAACCCAAAGTCGGGGAGCCCTGGGCCAAGGTCTGAGAGGGAGGAAGGAGAGCTGGGCGAGTCGCTGGGCCCCATAAGAAGGATCTTCGGGAGAAAAAGGGTAGGGCAGGGCTGTGCTTGGATGTTATTGGTGATATGGGGGCTTTATTTTTCATCTACTTATGCTATTTTGGGGGGTTGCTTGTTGAAACTATAATATAATATCCCCTAAAACCCTATTCTAATTATTAAGGCCCCTACATCATACTTACGACTGTTGGATGTGTTACCGCTCTTCGTGTTTACTGTACTGGTGTTGCAGCTACCTAGGAGGTGGGGCTCATGATTTTGTCGGTGTCCAGGAGATCTTAGTGTGCTGGACAAGGGCTTAATGTCTAGGACATTTTAAGGTGGGGAGTTTAGGGTATATAAGGCTTCCATAAGGCTTATATAAGGTATATAGGCCTTCTATAAGGCTCCTATTATAAGGGTAGCTACCCACCTGAAAATGTCCTAGATTAATAGTTCCAGCAAAGCTAAGTGCTAAATCACCGCCTTCCCCCCCTCTCCCTCGGACAAGAGAAATCTGGAAATCCTAAGCGCTCTCGGAAAAAGCACTGCGCTGATGCCATTCTCCAGACTTGGGTTGAGTGGGGTTCAGAGTTTAGGGCTGAGGGCTATAGCACCAGGGAATCCCGCAGGCTGGATGCTCGCCCACCTGCAAATGCCAAAGTGCAGGTATAGCTGTCTTGCAACAGCTCTGAAAGGGAACGCAACACATATCCAAGTGTGAATTCCAGCACCGACAACATCATGGCCGTTCCTTGCCCTGAGCCTCCCCCATACACAAGCATATCCTCACGGCCTGCAAAAGCCCGCTTCACTTGAGGTTCACCGAGCTGGTGGCTCCCACCAGTGCGGCACTTCTGCAGGAGCTGCTGGCTGCCGGTGAAGCGGGCGAAGCAGACGAGGTGAACACATGCAGAGCGGCCTGAAAAGCCAAGCGCTTTAGGTTGCAGCTGTTCGACATTGGGCAGCGTAGTGCCAAACCTTGAAGCCACAGACAGGATTCTGCGACACACTGGCTGGGGTGTGATCTGGGACTATTTCGGCACGCCGGCATTCAGCAAAAAGTGTAATTCTAGATTCTAGGCTTTCATCATCCTCGCTTGTCTTCTTTCTCAATGGGTGGGACCAGTGACTTGCCTTTCCTTGGTGCATGGGTTCGGGTGGGCGGGTGCTCAGACCTCGAAAGATGGATAAGAGGTCGTCTTCACAAGCTGAGAGGTGAAGGTGATTGCGCCTTTGGACGTCTTGCCCTACACATTCTGTATCAGCTTTCGTCGGTGTACAGAACCAGGGCCTATGCCAAGATTGGACGGAGTTGAAGAGTCCCGAAGTGCCTTTGGGAAGGGTCTGAAGTCCCAACTCCCTGTCAGGCCTGGCTCGTGTTGTCCCGGCTGCTATCTAGAGCTGGTTTCGAGCAGACAGCTGGGATCCTCTCCAGGTGCCTGCGGGGTTTCATGATTTTCGATTCAGGGCTCTGGGGCTTAAGGCCGAAGAGGTTCCGGATGCTTTCAGGTTTGAGTTTAAATTAGGGTCGGAGGATTGTGATGTGGAACTTGCTGGCATCTTTCCCACGTCCTTGGACGTCGTGGTCGGAACGTAAGCAGCGTTCCTCTGTTGCCAGAACTTGCTAGCTCTGATACCTTGGCATGCGGGTTCTCTCTCTCTCTCTCTCTCCCTCCCCGCCTCCTCACGCACTCGCTCGCCCGCTCACCCCAGAGAACTGCAATTTATAACCCCTGCAATAATGACCCCTTGGATGGGAAGGGGCTGGCCTTTTGGGGCTTCTGGTGCCAAAGCCGGTGCCGCCGGCTGGGTGTGCGGCCTCCTCCAGGCCGTATGGCGAGCCCCCATGTACCCACATACTGAGTTACCGCAACTTACTACAAAAAGTAACCTTAAGTGCTTCGAGCTGACTTAGGGTTTCCGGGTCTATTGTTTGAGAGTTTGGGGTCTGGGGCATCGGGTTTTGGGACTTTGGATGAGGGGTTTAAGGGTTTAGGCGTTTACAGGGTTTAGGTTTGGAGATTCGTGAGTTTAGGGCTTGAGAGTGCTTAGGGCTTAGGGTTAGGGTTCTGGGGTTTGGAGTTGCTGGGGTTGGGCTGAGTTGCGACAAAGTTCCGTTCTAGTGGTTGGAGGTTTCCCCCGGACAGATCAGCAAAGATCGTCCAAAGCCCATGGCTGAGCGATCGCTGTCAGACGCTTATGAGTTATTCTGAGCTTCGGATGGTTGGAATCCACATCCCCAAACCCCAACCCGAAACCCCAACACCCGATTCCCCAAACCCCATATAACATATTATATATACATATTATATATATATATATATATATATATATATATATACATGTATATAACTCTATAAAGAGAGTGTTTGTACACATATATATATATATATGTATATTATATATGTATATAGACATAACCAAACTCACGTGCTTTTCCAGGCCGCAGAGGGCTTGGAGCGGCCGGCCCTGGAGCTCCTGAGCTCCGTGCGCCGGGCGCTGCGGGGCGCGGACCCCGCAGCGCGGCTCTTGCCGGAGCCAAGTTTTCGGGTTTTTTTCGGGTTTGGGGCCAAAGTTTGGAGAGTTAGGGTTTGTAGGGGTTTAGGGTTCAGGGGTTCGGCTGGGGTTTGGGGGATCCTTAAGTTTCGGCTCTACTTTGCGGAGTGCTATGTTACGGTTCAGCTTTGCCAGGAGCTGCGTATCATCACCAGACGGGGTCACTGGCGCGAGCAGTCGTTGCTGTCGTTGTGGTAGTCGTTGCCGGAGTGAGGAGGAGTAGAACGCACGCACTGTATAGCTTCAGCCCTGATGGTATCCCTTTATCCATGCATGCCGCTTTGTTCATACGTAGCGACAGAATAAAAATGCAGAGTCGTGAACGGGGTACGTGCCAGCAAGAAGTCGCTTTTTCGATTCTCGGCCTGAGCTATGCCCCAGTTCGATTTCGAAATTCGGATTCAGAGGTCAGGCTTTGGGATTTAAGAGTTTAGAAAAACTCGGTGATGAGGATGTAAACACCCATGCAGGAGGGAGTCGTGAGCGCAGCAGAGCTTCACGAGAATGCGGTCATCACCGGCCTCGTGCTGATGCTTGTCTGACCAGTTGGCACTTCCGGAAGGGCCTTGATAATCGTGGGTTGGTGAGTTAATGGAGCCGGGCTAGTCTCAGGAAAAATTGCCCGGCGCATTTCGGCGTTCTGTGGTAGGAATCGAGCGTGCGATCACGGAGCATTTAGGGCAGGCATAAGCAATGCTAAGGCTTTTCGTACGGCTACTTGCATCAACGACCTGGCCAAGTCAACATTTTCATCTTGTGCACAGTGCAGCAAAAGCGTACTTAAGACTAAGTGCGTCGTGACAAACGCGTTCAGTATCGTCGTGACCATGGTCAGTTTCAGCCGAAGGGCAGAAGGAAGGTCGAACCTCACACATAGCACCAGAGGCACGACCAAGTCCAACTTTTTAACACCCTGCCCACGACAGGGTTGGGGCAACTCTGAAGTGCTGCAGCCTGAAAAACGTTGGCCCAGGAGGGGAATGGAGGAGGCATGTCCTCTCAGCTTCTTGGAGGACACAGGGGTACTTGAGGCGGCACTCACGTTCCAGCGCTCCTGGTCGGGTTTTTATGGCGGGAATGGAAGGTGTCAGGCCAGTGATGGAAAGCTGAGCAGGCTTTTTCTCTGTTTCCTGACCTGGTGCAGGTGGTTTGGGAGCTCCTTCTTGCCGCGAGCCTCACAGCAGAAGCGTCCGTGGTCTCCGGAGCCACGCAGGCCAAAGGGCGCGCTAAAAGGGCGGTTCAGTTCGGAGAAACTGGGGTGAGCTCCAAACTCTTGGCAATTTGACTTTCTCTTAAGCTTGGATCGTAAGGTTTATACATGCTTTCTCCGCGACAACACAGAACGAGAGCGACCACAAATGCAGCGCTCAAGAGTAAGCAGGCCTGGTCGCTTCTTCAGCGCTCGTCGGATGGGACCAAGCTCCTAGGTCATGCATCTAGAGATTGCGGTGGGAGTGTGTCCCTACAATGCCAAAGGACTACTGAATACAAAGCCCCCATAGCCTGAAAGCCTGTATGAACCATGAATCGGTACCTAGCCTGTCATGGAGCCCTGAGCCCTGGCATCTCGGAAAGCTTTGACCACTGCTAAGCTAGAGCCCTTAGGCTCCAGTTCCTCGACCTGGCTTTGAAGGAGACAAAACTGAACGGCAAAGAGCTTGAGATCGCTGACATAGATTGAAGTGGTGATGTTGAGTGGAGCTTTCTGCTGCTGTGGCGCAGAAGTGCGGGCAGGGTTGTGCACTGCCCATGGCTGTGCTGTATCTGGATCCAGCTCAACTTTTGCTCTTTTGTTAAACTTGCCGCGACATACCATTTGCCACTACCACTGCCAGAGCCATGGCTGCCACCGCTACCAATACGACTACCACAGCCACAGCCACCGCCCCTCCCGTCCACAACTACTACGACTGTTACGAGGACAACAATTTCGACTACGATCCCTTCTCCTATGTCTCAGACCTCGGCGACTACTGACTAGTGCCACTCCTGCTGCTGCTGCCGCTGCTACTGCTGCCACTCCTTGTGTGATCCCTTCAATTCGTCATAGCCGCACTCGAGCAAGCGCATTTTCTGTGTTTAACGTTAGGGATCGTAGCATACTCGTTCGGGGGATAGCAATGCTTACAGCAACGACACAAGAGCTCCAACTCCACATCTTCAGTTTCGTGGACGCCACCGTCCATGAATACACCAGCACCATTACACATGGTCTTCGCCATGGTCGTCATTACTTGTATCATTTTAAGATTCCGCATCTTCGCCATCTTCATTGTCTTCATCGCCATATTTCATCACCCTGAGCATCATCATGATCTGCGTCGTCTTGTTGGTGGTTTTCATCCTCTCATCCTCGCATCCTCCTCGTCGGTCATCGAGGTCAGCGCCGCCATCATCAGTGTGATCGTTCCCACTGCAAGTGCTATCTCGACCGTTCATCGGCATCATCTTCACTGTTCTGCTCTGTTGGTCTCCTCTGCATGCCATTGTTGGTATTCTACTATTAGCAAGACCGGCACCGCCCGAGCATTCCACGGAGGAGGCGGCGAGCGAAGGAGGTGCCTGGCGCATAGAGACGCGCCTTGGGCCTGTGAGTGTTTTTTGGGGCCCACGAGCTTCGTTGTGTTCAGGCATGTTGTCTGATTGTTTAGGATCGTCAAGATTTGCAAACATCGAATTGATGTCAGTGGATGTTCGGGAGCTGGAGGCTGCATCATCGAGGGGTTGAGGCATTTTTCAGATGTGGTATGGAAGACTTTCGGGTATTTGGGTGGTGCCACTGGTTCAGAGAAATCGCAACCTCGGGAACTTCTGGTTGCGAGCGCTTGCTGGCATCCGACAGGGCCCTGGTTTTGCACCCTGCCCTGCTGAATATAATATACTATAATATAATATACTATACTATAATATAATATAATATACTATAATATAATATAATATAATATAATATAATATAATATAATTATCCAACCTGGGACTCCCGGGCTCCCTTCCTTTCATGCGGACTCCCAGGCCCGAGATCCCAAGCTTCCGCAGTATGAACGCCCCTAGTAAGGGGCGCATGTCTGAGATGCAAAAGCAGCTAAGGAACAAGGAGGGCGAAACCTTGCTGCCGCTGTCGGCTCATTTGGCAGCTCGGGAGTCATTGAGTGACTAAACTTTCATCCTCATTCGTGTACTCCCTTTCTCGGTTAACTTCTGCAGTCAGTCAGTCACCGAACTGGCTGCCTTCACTTGTTCGCTTAACCATTCACTCAATGCACTTTGCATGCCTAGCCGGCCTAGCCTCTCATTCTCTGCACTTGCATGCCCACTTGACTGACTGACTGACTGACTGAGTGAGTGACTGACTGACTGACTGAGTGACTGACTGACTGACTGACTGACTGACAGAGACACACACACACACACATGCTAACACTGCACAGGCAGACGCCATGACTCGGTCGTGACTTCACTCTTGCATTGCTGTTGTTCAATATTTATCACATCTCACTGCCTACGGTGGTGCACTCACGCACTGCCTCACTCATTCACTGGGTCACAGCCAGCATTCACCGATACAATTCCCTCTTCCTTGAGGACCCACCCACCGGCGCCGCCATTCAATCATGAAGCCGCCGGCACACAGACGGATGATGACGGATTAACTCCCTCACTTTCCGGATTTGCATGACTCCTTTTCCCCCAGTAGGTTTGCTTCACTGCTCAGTTACTTTCCTGACTCCCTCCTTCACTCACTCACTGGCTCGCTCGCCGCACAACCTCGCTCCATCGACTCTGTTCTGCAGTGCTTCACCCTCTCATGATTGCATCTATTTCTTCAGCTGAAGCCAGCTTTCGCTGGTATTGTTGTTGAGTCTGCGCCAATGCCCCGGCAGCAGTCCCTAAACTAAAACCCTAGGCACAAGTTCTTGGTGCTCGAGCTTTATAGCCTCCAGGGCAGAGATTGACAGCGTCATCCCGCTTTGTAGAGCCATGGAGTACAAGCTGGCAGTGGATTCCAGCAAGAAGGCCACGGAGCTCCCGCTATTGAGGGTATGCGGCACTGTGCAGCAAAACCCGCACATGCGTGCCTTCTGGGCCAGTACAATCTCTTTCTTCCTTGCCTTCCTGGGCTGCTTCACAAAAGTTTACTACGGTTCTGTATTCTGGGCACTTTTGAGTTTAGCTCGTTTCAACATTTAAAGTACCTGACT